CCCCCCCCCCTGGGGGGGGGGGGGCTGGGTGGGGCACAGGGATCTGCTCCTCCAAATATTGCTGGAGCGTGGGCACCACGAGCCCACACAACTCGCCGCCCATTCCTCTGCTGGCTAGCTGGCTCTCTGTCTTTCAGAGGGGGCGGGGGAGTGCCGGCTCCTCGCGGAACCCCTAGTTTTGCTCCGCGGAACCCCAGGATTCCCCAGAGCACCAATTGGGAAACACTGGAGTAAGGAGTCCTTTTTTAAAAAACAGAAACAATAGGCAGGTAACAGATCATACTGGAATACTGGATTATGCTTTGGGACATAACAGGATGGTTATGAAAAAAAGCAGGTTTTCAAAGTGTCTCTGATCACCTTAACTACCCTTTGCTCCCTTACCAAGTCTTTACATGGGCCTATTTTAACAGTCCATACCAATAAAGAAAATCTTCAAATAATGATTTTTTTCAATTAAACTTACCTTGCTCTTTTCTCCTCTTCTATGCTGCTACCACCCCTCTCTCCCCCAGACAAAAGAGAAAAAAAAGCTGATTTTAATGAGCAAGTGACTTCACGTGCTTAGATGCATATTTAGTAGGAGTTGATATGATGCAAGCTTCCTCATACAGGCAAACCTACATAAATGTGCATTTGTCAAGATTAAAAAAAAAAAAAAAAGCTATCTGCTATAAAGCTATATTTAGGCACTTATAAGGTTAGTCTGCTGTTTTCAAAATGTATGTGCTGCATTTACTCTACCAGCTGTGTCAGGTAATTAAAACTACTTTTATCTATAGTTGATTTGGCCAAGGCCAGGGGAGGGGTCACACCTGATGTTTGTAGGTTAGTGCTTCATGATGAATACACCAAACCCCTAACAGACAAAGTTAAATTTCTTCCTTCTCTGTTATAGTAATGCTTTCAACACACTCCCCCTTTCTCTGAATAGGAGATGATCAGTGATGGAGCATCTGTAACTGCTAAAACTTCCTTGTTTCAATATTTTTTGCTCAAATCTCTAGTATAGTTTTGGGAGTAAATCTAACAGTCCACCAAGCTAGTTTTTCCCTTTCCCAAGATAGATATTAACAAAGATACCAAAACATAGTTGTACTTAATTAAAATGACTTGTTTTGAAGTTTAAGAGAGATAGCTGTCAGTCTGTATCTGCAAAAACAATGAGGAGCTCTGTGACACCTTAAGGGCATAAGCTTTCATGGGTAAAACCCTCATCTCTATTTCTCATAGTATTTAAGACTAAAGCTTAGAATTTTATACAGGATTAGACACCACATAATGGAAAACTTCCCTTTAAATGAAATTAATTGACTCATGCTTCTTTATTACAGTAATTAATATTACATAATTAGGCTAAATTGATTTCCTGGAAGAAGTTGCAATGAAAATGGCCATTCTGATTTAGTGGAGTGCATAATATTGTTTGTGTAATTTAAAAAAAAATATTGCTTTGGAAATTAATATTTCAATATAAAAAAGCAAAGCAGTCCATAGAATACAGAGAAAATATTTAGGAATGACATTAAAGTTCTTGATTTCTTTGAGTATTTATTTTCAAGGCTTAACAGATACTGAAAGCTAGCTGCGGAAAATGCTTGAGATTGGAGTTAGTTTGCATCCTTACATCACTATGCATAACATGCCATTTATAACTTCCAACATGCTATGAGCTAACATATTTCCCCGGTGTTTTTCAGGTCCTTAATTTTTTTTTGAAAATGAAAGGAAAATTCATACCAGGGCTACTTGCTCTTCCCCTTCCTGTCCCTGTCAGGGAGCAAAAGCAAAGTGTACAGTTCATCTGCCCCCTGCGCTCCCTAGCCAGAGTGAAGAATGCGGCAAACTGCACTTGCCCCTTGCTCACTGACATGGGGGAACAGCCAGCAATGTCCCTATACAAACCTGGAGGGGATGTCTAGAGGGTGGGAGGCTCAGGGCTGGGGCAATCCCAGACAGCCCCTTTCACCTGCCTGATGATTCTGTCTCTTTTGTGTATGGTTTTACGAGAAGAAGTCCCATCCTAGGCACATCCCATTTTCCTGGCACAACCAAACCCTTATGTTGCTTTAAGTTCTGATAAAAAGAAGCTGTACACTGATTTTGGTGGTTGTAGCTCTTATTGATTAGGAGTTCTTGAACAAATAAACAGACTCTCTCAAATATAAAGTAGATTTATTTTCATGGCAGAAATAAAAACCCATAATTATTTTACAGCTCACAATTAAATATTCCATTGTCAATTGCTCCTCCTTGGAAACAATGTTGCATGACAGTACAAATAAGTCTGAGGGAGAAGAATAGTCTTCTTCAAACACAAGCCCTCTTTAAAACTCTCTTTCCTAAATTATAGACTGTAGGTTACTTGAGAAGACCTGTACACACATTTGGACACATGGCCACAAAGAACTTAGTGCATGCCCTGGATTTCCTCTTTGGGCCTAGACCAATTAAAAACGGAGATTATGTGGCAGCTACCAAGAGTAAGGCTCCTGTGGGAGCTTGTTAATGCAAGTCTTCTACAGGTGATGCTGAAAATGCAGTGTGACTACTACCCCTCTTTTTAAGTGCCTTTGTGCTCTACCAGCTCAAAGTTGCTATCTGGGACTTCTAAGAGAAGCCAGCACAGTATCGTCAGTACACTGGATTTGCTTGTTCAAGAATGACAAGAAATTAAAAGTACAGGCAGTCCCCGATTTACGCGGATCCGACTTATGTCGGATCCACACTTACGAACGGGGCTTTCTCGCCCCGGAGGTCGAGGTAGCGGATTGCTACCTGCGAGCTCTGGGGCGAGAGAGCCCCGTTCGTAAGCTGTTCTGGTGCCCCATGTCTGCTGGAGACCGTCTCCAGCAGACCAA